GTAGGAGTTTTCGCAGCATTTGTACTTGTGTGCGCTTCACTTGAGTAGTCGCTGCTGCTGCTTCAGTGAGCATATTGGCAGCTATCATGATTGCAAAGACAGAGTATGCAAAACGACACGGATGGTTACAGTAGTTCCTGCAATGGACTGCCGAAGCTTGGGTATGGCCAACCTGCTGATCAGACCAACTGGGCTGAGGAATTCACTTTAGGGCCGTTTAGGCTTGCATGCATGAGAGGAAGGCGATCTACGCTGGTGATTCAGTGGTGACGGATTGAGTTATCAGTAAGAACAAGATGGTGGCGTTGCTGTGACGAAAGAAGAGGTTGGAGTCCGAGGAGCATTTTGGTTTCTCTTTTTTCTCAAGCAGTGATATTGTTTGTCTTTGGTTTCTTTGCTTATTCGTCTCTGCTCCCCAACCTCGGTCCTTTTGTCCTGCTCTCTGCTGTTGGTGTATGTTGTTGCAGTAGTGGATGGAATGTGTGAATGATCAGATGTTCTTGGTTTTTGCGAGAAAGTGACAATGTTTGCTCCTTCGAGTGGGTTGATTGCCTGAAGCTCGTTCCTTTCCTCCGATTGAAGTCCCTAACCCTAGAACTGTATCTCAATTCCCATACAACGATCATCCATACCGGCATGTGAATGGGATGTTAGACGAGCGGTTGATTAGAAGAACAAATCGTATATCTTCCCGGATGAAGCTCATTGTGCAGGCTGTATCCGTGTAATTCCTCGGGCCACCGAAGCCGAAGTTCGGTCGTGGCCCTTATTTTGTGAGGAATGTGAAAGTGAAGACAAAGGTGATCATCGTTTTTGTCCGTTCGTTCTGCTTTGATGAGAAGGCAGCTCACTGCAAAGGGTTTTGCATGTTGCTCTCAGAGGACAAGCCGTGGCCGCAATCAGGGTGATTGCGTTCTTTGTTTGCCGACGTTGACTCCTGCTGCGAGTCATACTTGTGGAACGGAAGTGGAATGTCTTTTTTACATTTGGATTCGTTGGTGTTCATGCCAACACTTCTTAGCATCCTTTTCCTTTCGTGATTCTTTTCCTCCCTTCTTGTGTGCATCTCTCTTCGAAACAGCCCTTCTGTTTTAGGGATTTTGCAGGAACCGATACCTGGACATTCCAGTTCCGACCTCGGATGCGAACTCCCATTCATAAAATCCTTGGCACATAGAACTGTGCGGCAAGCTTTGGACGAAGCACATGCGCAGCATTTTTGGGTTTCGTTTTGGCTGGCGCCGCCTGCCGTTTTGGTCCGTCAATGCACTATAAGTTATATATACGACTTTGCCTTCCAGCCTGAAAGGTAGAGGTGGTTTAAGTGTTGCAAAAATTAAAAAAAAAAAAAGAAAAAAAAAAGGAAAAAGTGTGGCGTGCCCTGGACTTCAGTCCAATCAGAAAGCAACAGTGCAGTGAGGTTTTCTGTCATACGGTGACCAAACAGAGAGGAGACTTTGTTTAATGCTTATGCAATACTCTGTCATCTCCCTCTCAATCTCTCTCTCTATTTCTTCATCCTCTTTGATGCAATTTTGTATTGCCTTTCATGCGAAACTCAAAAGCTCTGCATGGAATCTTGGTCAATCATAACAAGGGGAATGGGAAAGGAAGAACTTTGCCCTGCACCAAAACTCAGTGTTTTGTCATTGAGTCTTGAACAATCATAGGCTGAGGGTTCAAATCTCTTTTTCCACTCGTCAGCTTCGCTGCCTGGCCAAGAAAAGAATGGGGAGCTGACACCGCCCACCCCAAGGGGAGATAAACGGAAAGCAAGAACTTCGTTCTACACCATGCCCACAGCCTTATACTGTGGTGAATGGCATGCTAGTATGAGGCAGGGCAGGAGGGTAGAACTGGGAATGAGGGGCATCCTCCGTGTGGCACTGACTGAAACTTGGCGAAAAGCCATTTGGGTGTGTGAATCACTATCAGGGTGATGACCTACCTTTCTCCTTTTTAGAAAGAAAGATATGACCACACACCAGTCCAAAAGATTCGGCATGACTGGCAGTTTCCAAGTGTGGCCACCAGGATTCCTACATGGAGGATATGGTCCTGTCAATAACCATGCATCCGTTTATCCCTGGTTCAATCTAACAGGCCAACTCAGTAGAAGCAGAGCGTTCGAGACGTACTCTTTGAGCAGATTCAAGCACCATTCCCTAATACAAGGGACACAGATAGACTGGGAGAGAGAGAGAGAGAGAAGGGTGGGGGAGGGGGGCAAAGAGGGTGCAAAAACGTGGGGAGGAGTGGAGAAAAAAAAGAAAGAAACACACACACACACACACACACACACACACACACACACATGCTCCTCGTTAAGGGTTTTGGGTCCGACGCCTGTCCACGTTATATCCTCAGGGCTTTAACAGCGTCCTCCCACAAGGGCGATTACCGCCAGTCAGACGATCTCGTCGTCCGAACAGGTGGATTTGTACGAGAGGCCGCCCGAATAGTCCTGCTACCCGCCCTGCAGTGCAAACTTCTGCTGATAGGCCCTTCATGATTGACACTGCCCCGGGTCCCTTCTTTGCTGTGCGCTCAGCCCTGCATCGCATGCTCACACAGGCAGCCAACTCGGAATGGGAATCCATATCTCGTGCCCTCTCTCAAGCCAGCTCTGCCTGGCGCTCTCGCTTGTTGCAATGGTTGCTAACAAATGTCTCCAACTCTGAGCTCACATCGAACATTCGTCAACTGGAATGCATGATCCGTGGTCTGCAATATTCACGCCAACCGTATCTCAGCCCTGGACATAATGGGGCTCAATTTTTTAATTTTATTAAGGTTATGCACAAGCATCAGGTTGCTCGCACCACACAACTATGAGGCGTCCTTCGGCTACCAGAGGTTGCTGAATTACACCCACGACCTGCTCTTGCCAAGGAGATATGCATCTGTGATAAGATGGTGCCCCCCATTCGTGTCCAGTTCTGCAATTTTACAGAAGTGGCACTTACCATAACAAGCAATATGCCTCTTCCAGACCCTGCCAATTGTCCCTGCCGACAAGCGTTTCCACATTGTGCGGACATTGTTGATGGTCATGTAGCCACAGTGGACTACACTGTTATACAAGATACACACTTGCGGGCTCTCTTCTTTGAAGGCTCCAAGTACCGCCTCAATGCCAACACCACAGATGTGATGAAAGCATTGAAACTCGGCCTGGATGAGTATATTGCCAAGTTCATAGCAGCAATGAGATCAGCACGCAACAATGAGTCTCTAATTGCCGACAGTCTCTCTCAGCTGCGCAGATGGCGCACAACAATTCTTTCAAGATGCCAACGGAATCTATCTACGTCACAGTACCAAGCACCCACTCAAGCTGCCTCACGTGCTGCTAATACATCTCTACGGCAGCTACAACAGCAATTTGCTATAGTGCCTGTTGATAAAACATCGCACAACATGGCAATCTGCTGCAAGCGCTGGTACTGGTATAAGTTATCACAACACCTTGATAGTCCTACCTACGATTCGACATCGGAATCTGTGGCCAGCATCCTTGACCACCATGCGCTTTTCAATCAGCGTTGGGGCTATCGACATACTGACACCCTGCCCTATCTCTACTTTGCACTTAAAGCACATAAATCCCCGCCTGGTCTTCGCCCAATTCTCGGTGTTACTCAACAAAACAACCTTTCTTRGTCTTCACTTCGCACAATACCTCGCCAGTCTTCGGTCTCCAGTTTGCATAACAGACCCCCTCATAAGCCTCTTGCCAGTACAACAATGGCCTCCCGCTCACTTAGCTATGCTCTCCAAGKCGTGATCAAGTCTCTGCGCRGTAAGGACAATGAGCTTTATCAAGAAGTAGGTGTACGACGCTGTTGGATCGTACAGAGTGCTGAGGAAGTCATCTTAGATCTCAAGCAAAATGCACCATCNGACAATGAGCTTTATCAAGAAGTAGGTGTACGACGCTGTTGGATCGTACAGAGTGCTGAGGAAGTCATCTTAGATCTCAAGCAAAATGCACCATCCCTTCGAGGTTGTAYGCCCCATACGGCARATTTCACAACCATGTACACTAACCTGCCACATGATAGGATTCTTAACAATGTCCTAAATGCGGTTCGTGAAGCACATGATTACGCCTTGTTGCGTATCCCGCAGGGAAGAAGGCCAGTACAAATGCACATGACTGTAGGAGGTCCGCATCGCGGGGAGTGGGTTACTTCACATGGATCAGACACCCTTTCCGTGTCAGAGATAGAACAGCATCTGCGGTTTGTGGTGTCGAACACTTATCTCTACACAAGGGATGGCACTCTGCGTCATCAGGTGGTAGGCATCCCTATGGGCACTAACGCTGGACCGGAAATTGCCAACCTTACGCTTTATTGGGACGAAGCACAGTTCATCGATGAATTACGATAGCAGGATCTACGCGCTGCGCAAGCACATGCATTTACGTACCGATTCATTGATGACATCTTATCTTGGAAGACATTACCGCCCCCTCCTGCTCGATATGGTCTTGAGTGGAAGGACACTACTGAGCAAGATGGGTCGTGTGTTTTCCTTGGGGCAAGAATCCTGGTTTGCCGGATGGCTCACTTCGCATCGGCGTCTTTGATAAGGCTGAGGCCTGGACATTCCCTGTCATACGCTACCCCAACGCTTCCTCTAATGCCCCAACTCATCAGCCTGCAGGTGTGCTCAAAGGGCAGCTGACACGATTTGAACACATCTGCAACAATACTGCCAACTTTAAGGCTGCACTGACTTCCCTCACACGACGAATGCTCATTAGAGGCCATCCCCCCAGTGTCCTGGCCAGAGGTTGGAATGCATACGTGCGCGGCCGACAGCGCCGCTTACCCACTCATGTTACACGGCTTTCGAACTGGTTTCGGCGCATGGTACGCTGGGCAATTGCCCACCCACTCCCGAATGCAAATTCTGTTCGCAGGTCTTTCACACAACCGCACGCAATAGGAAACATCCCGCAGCCCGACCAACATCAGCCCTCCACAGCTGAAATTCCAAATGCTAATGAGAATACGCCAACCCGACAGGAGACCGGACCAATCGCAACAAATTTGGGCGAAGTGGCTGCAACTACGAATACGGTGGCAGTTCCACCGCCGCCATGGCCGCCATCACCACCTCTGCCACCACCACCGCCATCATCATCACCACGAATGCCCCCTGCCCTATCACCACCACCCTCCCCACCACCTTGAGCACCACTATCGCAGCCGCCGTCGCTACCAGCATCATCGTCATCAACCTCAACATCATCATCACCATCATCACATTCATGGTCGGATCAGCTACGACAAAGGCCCAGTCGGCGGACGCGTACGACATTGGACCAACCATTGCAGATGCCTCTTCGGCGGGTCCATTCTCCGTCTCCACCGCCGTCCCCAAGACAGCCAAGACAGCACCTCGTCTAGCCGTGAACGGCTTGATCACCGCGCCTCCAACGGCTACTAGAGATTTGGTCCGCCGACATGCTCGCAACCGTTCGGAACGACAGCGTCGCCTTCGATACACACTAGCCAGGAATAGTACACGCCGAGTCCGATGCCCGCAATGTGGGGATGATTTCTTCAGTGCTGCAGTCCTCCGTGTGCACCAGACACGAGGTGCAGCTACTTGTGCAGAATTTGCACGACCGGCAGCCGCTCTGAGCACAAGTGCAGCTGATCAGCTTCCGCTTTCCGCATCTGACCCACCCAGTTCTCACCCCCCTGACCCGCCCCTTTCTCATCCAACTAGCCCCGTTTCTTCCCCTGCCCCAAATGACATTGACCCGTCTTCTGGCTACCTGATGGAGCCCCGGATTGAAGATCGTCTCTCTCCGGAGCGTATACTAGAGCCAATTGGTCAAGACCGCAATGAGTCTCCTCCACCTGTGCAATCTGCAGAATCGAACGAATCTCCTCCTGCTGTGAACGAATCTCCAGCACAACCCGCGGAATCCAACGATGTCATAGCGCTACAGCGAGGCCGCTGTGCGTACTATGCCATCAATGCATGTCTCCTTGCCTACAATTGTAACCCTTATTCGGTTGCTGATTTCGCAGACGTTGTCCGCTG